GGGTTCATTGGTTACAGACATTGAAGTGGGTCAGACAGCTGTCCACACAGAGGGTGGGGGGCCCGAGCGGTGGTGGACGGGTGAGGAACTTTTCCAACATCTAGGCTTGGATAAAAAGGGACTCAGTTTTGTAAAATCTTGTGCAGTTCAGGCAATGTTACATCGACGTGCAGATGTTTTCAGCATGGGAGAGGCTGATTTGGGTAGAACGCAGCTGGCGATGCACACGATTAACACTGGGGAGGCCCGCCCTATTAAAATGCCGGCTTGGCGAGTCCCTTAACATTTACAGAGAGAAGTGGATGATCAGATAAAGCAGATGTTGGAGGCTGATGTTGTTCAGCCGTCCCGTAGTCCATGGGCAGCGCCGATTGTACCTGCGCGAAAGAAGGATGGGGGGCTGCGGCTTTGTGTTGATTATCGGTAACTAAATGAGGTCACCTGTAAAGACTCCTATCCATTGACGATGCACTGGATAGTTTGTCTAATGCATCATGGTTCTCTACATTAGACCTTGCCAGTGGTTATTGGGTGGAGATGCACCCACGGGATAAACCAAAGACTGCATTTGTTACACGACAGGGCTTGTATGAATTTAATGTGCTCAGCTTTGGTTTATGTAATGCCCCCTCGACATTCCAGCAGCTGATGGACTTAGTCCTTGCTGACCTACACACAGAAAAATAATGGTTCTTTAGAAGTCTGTGTGGTTCCATAAAGAACCATAACCTACTAAAGAACCATTTTATGTAGTGGATGGTTCTACGTGTTAGTCATATGGTTCTTTGGGATATTGAAGGGTTCTTAATTCTTATTTGAGTTATTGGATGGTGGTGATGGTGGGGGTATAAATTTGCAAAATAATTGTACCTCTCCATAAGCTGCACTGAAAAGGAGAAGATGAAGGTTTTTCTGAATTTGTAAATACAACGAAGATCATGAAAGTACATTTTACAAGAAAATACTATTGTAGTCTTGCTACTTGAGAATCCCATGTATAATTCAGTATGATACTTTTAGTGTCGTTGTAATTGTTTTCTTAAAATACATTTTTAATTTTTGTCCGAAATATCAGAGTAAAATCCCTATGGTTTTGTGGCTTCCACAACCTGCGCATGCGGCTGACGAGTCCTGGTAGAGTGCGGCTCGTGCGAGGGGGTTACGAGGTTTTTTTCTCAGAAGACGATCGGGAGCAGTTACAGTACAAGAGCAGTAAGGTAATTTTTTAAATGGGGAAAAATGTTTTGGAATAATTTAACCATCAGAAGGCAATTTAAAATGAACTATGAGGATCGGATTAAAAAAAAGTCCCACGAGTAATTTTTTGACATTCCGAACGATTTTACTAATTTGACGATAGGGAGTTTTTTTTCCCGTATGACTACCAATAAGAACTTCAAAGCAGTTGAAGTTTTTTTTTTATTTTATGTGAGGGTCTGTGGCCAATCGTATGGAGGAAATTTATTCCATGATTCAGGGTTTTCTGCTTTAAACGCTCAATTGCTGAAGGATTTTTATTTAAAATAAATACTATTAGGGTGATAATCCATATCATCCTGGACACTTAGAGCTACTTCGGGTTATCCATCCATCCATCATCTGAAACCGCTTATCCTATACAGGGTCGCGGGGGGTCCAGAGCCTATCCCGGGCGCAAACTTCGGGTTTTTCCGAAATGCTTTAAAACCGAAAAGCTCCTGTGCTCGACTAATTAGTTAATTTCTTCTTGTGCTTAACTGGTTTGTTTCCTTGATTGAAAGACTATCCAGTATCCAGCCTGTTTCACATTAACATTAAGTAACACATGCATGGTTACAGGAGACTCAGCAAGAATTCAGCGCTCAAGTGAAATCCAGGACCTTTTAATTGAAATAGTAGTTTACAAATCCTGTTCAAGCTCAAAGTATCCGGGATGACATGGATTATTTGGTCACCCGAAATACCATCGTTAGCAAACGGTTAAGATCTACAAATTAGTAAGTTAGTGCAATATGTCCCCAGGACGGAACAGGCAAACCTTGGCTATACAGTAAATAAGAATTAAATTGATTAGGTGAGAACGATCTGTTGTGACTATAGTTTGCAATGTAACCAATTAGGTTTTGTTTAGAGCCCTACCACTGAGTTTGATGGGTGACTATAACTGATAATTTTAATGGTTGTTGGTATCATTTAAATAATTTAAATTATAATTTTACAAATATATATAAAGGACCAAAGGAGTTGTAAGCACCATATTGCAGCAATAAAGCAGGAGTGCCAAAAGATGAGGCCCAATTTGGACATCATTCGCCAGTGCCTCCAGAGTACAAAGGTACAGAAGATACTACAGTATATTCAACAGCACACCACTGCAGAGGTCTTACAAGAATTCCCCTGCTTTTCTATTCCAGTCTTGGTGAGTTAAGATGTTAATGTGCATCAGTTTAGTACATATGTAATTCTGCACTTTGCATTGAATAGAATAAATTATTTGTCCCATATTTGCTTCAAAACACCAATAGCATTAATTCATTTAAACTGCATGTTTTGTTTCAGCTGTGTGAAGAAGCATCAGCACTTCCTTAAGATTGATGTGGACAAGCAGGTCATCAAAGGGTTCAATAAGCTGGCAAGCCA